GGCCATACAATGTATTTTTCTTCCAAGTTGGAAATTGAAGATATGGTACTTTTAAAGACTCTAAAAGCAGTACTTTCACTAATTCCAAATCGTTCTCCAGTTTGTCTACAAATTATATAACATACACATTATTATTATCTTCAAAATAATTATGCTTGCACAGTTAATGCACATATTATTTATCTTGTAATTAAATTTGGAACATAACATATCATGAAACTACAATTACAAACACTATTCATGTAAGAATATTTGAAATGGTACTTCCGGGTTATCTCGACTACCTCCGTAGACCGTAATTTATAAATAAATATATATTCCCACGTTGTAATCTGTATCATTGTAATGTACAATATTTAATTTTGTCTTCGATGTACAATGTACCTACCTACTATAAGCAGATTAGTTGACATTAACCACTTTCTGTTTGGTTATTCGGTATTCCCGAACTGTTATCTGTATCATTGTAATGTACAATATTTAATTTTGTCTTCGATGTACAATGGTGGTTTTTATTTTGTCAGTCATTCAACAATCGTCCTATTTTCCGTATTAGAGCTACGTCTAGTTAAATATATCGTTTAGTGAATATGAATTGAATTTCTTTTCCAAAATTGTATTTTGGAAAAGAAATCTTTTGGAAATGTAATATTAAAAAATGCCAAAAAAAAGGTAAATATACGTAATGGTAATTGGTTTGCGAAATCACGAATATCGTTTACGACTGCTGTGCGATTTATATATGGGTGGTCAAATGAAATGACTAGTATTAAGTGGTGTGAACAAGAACTTAATATAAGTGAAAATACAGTTATTGACTGGAATAATTACTTACGTGAAGTATGTGCAATGGCGATTGAAAATAAACCACAGGGGAAAATAGGTGGACCGGGGAAAAAATAAAGATTTTTCAAAATAGATTTATATTATTATTCAGAATAGATTTAACCTATATATTTTATATATTTAAAAAATTGCGGTAGTCGAAATAACACGGTTGATCATATAATAGGTAGTCTTGGAAATATTTTGGTAGTCGAGATAACACGGAAGTACCTTTGAAATTAATATAAAAGCAACATCAGTTAACATAGCTAGCAATAAATTTGTTCAACCATTAGATCCATACTAACCGATAGGTTTCCTTTTCATTAGCCAACATCCATAATGTTAATATTAAACAAAAAGAATTATCCAATAACGGTCTTCCTCTTATTGATTTATTTCTAGGTGGTAATGACATCAAAAGTATCTGAAATATAAAAGGTAATTATTTACACCTGAAAAAAGGGCAGGCACCACTGCTATTAACAATAAACTATGGACTAACTTACTTCAAATACTTCATGACTCACACGGAAATGAAAAATAAATTCTGATAGTGTATTCTTTAAAACAACTGAACCAATGTATGATTGTATTTTTGATCGACTTTCAAAATTACTTATTGCTCAATTGCGTTTAGTTTGGGACCAATTATAAAAACAAATGTCATCCAGATCAATTTTTTAAGTAACGGCATCATAACCCAATACCCGCAATTTGCTAGCAATTGCCACAGAAATTGCAACTAATTCCATTTTAGAACCGTCGTTCGCTAAACTTTTTGAATATAAAAAATACAATTTTAATATAAGCACAGATTATATAATCTGTGATATAAGTATCAGCCATTAGGACATCAGCCATCATGTATTATGATTTATGTAATTCTATTTTTATGAGTTCATAATCAAATAATCAAAAATTATATGGTGATAGCGTGATAACAATGTATTTTAAAATTTGTGTTTTAGTTTTCATCACAATCATATCATAGAACATGTGGTCGATACAATTGAAGAACTCGCGAACATTCTGAGCCTGGAACAAAATAAATCTTACTCATCAACCTTGCAGCGTCCACCATCAAGGTAAATTTTTTGAATGCCAAACTATTAATTAAAAAACACATTGATTAAATTTATATATCTATTGCTTTCTAATTTTTGTTTAGATTTTTCCAAGAAACATTTGAAGCTGACGAGGAAGTTGTTGGCGTAATTTTTTTCAATTTAGACGCCATTCAAAAATATTAGCATGAACTTTTATCCGTCGACATTGCAGGAGTGGACGGAACGTTTAAAACAGTGCCTAAACGTCCTCCTCAATTTTACAAAGGCTGCCTTCTGACATTTTATGTACTATTTAAAAATGTAGTAAGTTTATGATTACAAGTAATTATTTTGTAAGTAATTGGTCAGCTCTTTTTTTGGTGTCTAGTCTAGTGTGTCCAATTTTATTTACATTCATACCTTATTTAATATTTTATGATCTAATACCTAACTTAATTTTGTCAAGTCTTTTCCAATGGTATATGCATTAACATCGAAAATGACCGAAGCAGCATATGAGTCATTGTTTAGAGTAGTTAGAAGAGTACTACCATTAAATTATGCACAAATCACTATTATTACGGATTATGAAAGAGCTTTAATGACCGCCGTAAAAAGTATTTTTCCTGAAAGTAAACTTCGTGGTTGCTGGTTCCACTTCTGTCAAGTAATGTCATGTTAAGTTCTTATGCTTCCTGTAACAATTATAATTTATTATAATTATTTTTTATCTAGTCCGTTATCTGATAGGTACTGCCGAAGGAGTTTAAATAGTGTATTCCCATATTCCAAAATAACCCTGAAGGCTGAAGCTAATAGAGTTCTACGTATGGTAAAATTATCTTATTCTAGTTATTATGTTTAAGGCACTTAAATGTATGTACCTAATTCATACTTTTACATTTTAATGATCAATCATTTTTAGGTTTTAGCATTGCCACATCTTCCTGCAGAAATACACCCGGAATGTAGTTTTACTATGAGCGATGGGTTTCATGCTATAATTGAATATGTAAGCCAGTATGACCATATTTCGGAATGCCTTCATAATTTTTTAATTGGTTACATTCAACGTTTTTGGTTTGATCAAATAGGTTCAGCAAGTATTACTGTTTTTGGGTAATTTATATTTAATAAATAAGGATAATCATTTTAAATTGCCGAAAATGATATCTTAATAGATATACAGACTTTTCACTCACTTGCCTTTCTCACAATTTTTATGTAGCTCACTATTTAAGCAAATTACTTAATACTCATTATTATCACTTTTTAGATTTTTTCAGTGCAATGATTAAAATCATTGAAATTTATATAAAACTTCATAACACAAGTTTTAAGAAGAAAAAAAAAGGCTCGAATCTTTGATTTTGATGGAGGTTTTTGTTAACAAATTAGAAGTTTTTACTTTGGGGAATCAATAGTAAAAATTTCCAATAACTTATTAAAATGATTAGCAAACCGATTCATATTAAATGTTATAACTTATAAACATCATATAAATACTATTATCACCAGTATTGTAAAAATAACTTAAAAACTATATTTTGTCAAATTTTAAAATTTTTAGTTGTCAATTAGGTACAAAATTATTAATAATACATATATTTTTTATAAAACTTTTGCTATTTATAAATATTAGTTAAGCTTTGAGGGTATTGACAACTAAATTCAAATTATTTGCAAAGTTGAGATAAAATTAATATTTAGTATAATATAGAAGGTAAATATATGTACATATAGGTTGTTTAAACAATAATAAATTGTTTTTATACCTTATATTTTCTTAACTAACAATATTTAATATTTATAATTATTAACTATAATTACAAGTATATTTAAATTTAAAACAATAACTAAAATGATCACATTTCAGAAATTAAAGTTTTATTATTTAACATTAATTAAAATTATTATGTATCAATTCAATCATATAAATGTTTCTTCAAGATTAGTTAGATACGTCAAATCTTAAAGCACATCTCGAAAAGCATACCAAGAAGAACGCGGATGAAACCGAAGGCACAAGCACAACCAAGAAAAAACAGGTTGCGATTTCAAGCTTTGTGTCTTGTAGCCAAATTAGTAGCCAGGTCCAGGAATACGGAAAACGAAAACGAAAAACATCTTCTAGTTTGGACAATGTGGTTGATGATCCAGACGATCCAGATGAGGTAATTTTACTTATAGGTTTTAAAATTTAGGCAGATTGGGATAGTATCCTGACAAAATGGCTATAGATTATATAATATTCTAAGACTTTTTCAACTTTTACCATTTAGATTTGTAGCGTCACAAGTGATACATATGGTGTTGTTGATGAATTGTCAAGATTGTGTATTCCTAAACAACAAAATATTGACAAAATGTTTGGCCAGATATCATCAATAGCTGGTAAGTTATTCAATGAATGATACGTTTTGTGAGCTAATGCTTGTTTTTTTGAATCTCATACATTTTTAGAAAGGTTGTTCTATACACATATAAAATATTTTATGTTCCATGTAAATGCTGCTTATACTTCTAATTTTCTTTAAACTATAACTATATAAATATTATGTTATAAATTACACTTAAGTAATATTAGTAATTTATTTTTATAGTTGGCGGTTCCCAATATCACCGTATAAATGAATCAATTGCTTATTATATCTGTAAAGATATAATAAGCCATTTTCTACTGTTGAGGGAAAGGGATTTCTTCATATGATGAAACAAGTATGTCCATTATACAAAGTTCCTCAAGAAATACAATGAAAAATATTATAGACCAAAAGTATTCCATTGTTGAACGTGATTTCGTTTAGCATTGCAAGATATTAATTATTTTTCACTGACAACTGATATTTGGACTGATACCCAACAGATGAAGAGTTTTCTTGGTTTAACTATACATTTTTTGGAAAACCAATCTTTACAATCTGGTTTGTGTATTATCTTTCATTAATTTAAACATTTAACTTGCAAAATGTACCAACAACAAAAACAATCTTTGTTTAACAGGTACTTTTGGAGTCATTGAACTTAATCAATCACACACTGCCGAGTACATATCCAGAGAAATATCAAATTGTTTAAATAGATGGAGTGTTGACAAATCAAAAATTGTAGGAATTACTAGCGATAATGGGGGCAAACATGGTGAAAGCAGCTAAAGATTTATTTGGTGTTGAAAAACACATTCCATGTTTTGCACACACAATCAATCTTGTGGTTGAAAACGTAATAAAAAACACTGATTCGTTATTAAATCTCTTATCAAAAGTGCGAGAAGTTGTAAAATATTTCAAACACAGTACACATGCTAGTGATCAGCTTAGGAAAAGGCAAATTGACGAAGGTAAACATTATTTTAATGAACATTTATATTATTAGTTTACATTATGATTATACTAATTTTTATGTAACATTAATTTTAGGAAAAAAAGAAGGGAATTGCAAAAAACTAATTTTAGACGTCAGCACGCGTTGGAACAGTGTATATTACATGGTGCAACGGTTTCTAGAATTGTCTTCATTAATATCTGATATATTACTACATCGTCCATCTGCACCTCAAATGCCTTCCGCCATTAACCTTCAAGAACTTCAAGCTGTCTTAGTAGTATTGCGACCATTTGAAAACGTTACTTTAGAGATGTCATCGCAACGTAATGTGACTATTAGCAAAGTCCTTCCACTTGTGAGTTGCTTAAATAATAGCATAACTTCGTACACACCTGATACCGAATTGGGGTCAAAATTAAAAGATGTTACAGTTGTAGAAATAAACAAAAGATTTGGGAATATTGAAAAATTCTATTCATTTCCTATTGCTACATTACTTGATCCTAGATTTAAGAACCTTCATTTCAAAGATCCTGTTGATTGTTCCAAAGCTATTGCAAAGTTAAAAATTTTAGTATGTCAACATAATATAATATCATCTTCTTCTGAAGATGATCAACCTGAGGCTGTCGAAAAAAAATTTGATTTATGGGAACATCATAAAAATTTAGCGCCTCAAAAATCAAAAAAAAAATCATCAAAATCAACAACTAAAAATCAGGAATCAGCATCAGACCAAATGGTTATGCAATACTTAGGAACACCGGTTATAAATCTCTCCCAAGATCCTATTGAAACATTTGAAGAAATGAAAACGGTGTACCCACAACAGTACAACGAAAGTCAGAAAATGTTCTGTATTTTGGCGACATGAGTTCCATCAGAGAGGCTGTTCTCTAAGGCTGGAGCCACATTATCAAAAGAACGCAACAGGTTGTTGGGAAAAAGGCTGTCAAAATTACTATTTTTAAACTCAATTGATGATAAATACTGGTTTTGATATAATACAAACACCACTATATTATGTTCATTTGTGTGCATATACAGTGTTAAATATTGTAAAAATAAAATTTAAAAAATGTTATTTCTAACATGTGTTAACATGCATTAATAGATACATTTTTTTATTGGTTTGCTTGTTTATATAATTGTGTGTATTGTTATTACTTATTACATACCAGTTTCAAAATATATATTGATATATCGATATTTTCTGATCCGATATATCGGTGTATCGATATTTCGGTTTTATATCGGTTATCGATATATCGAGGTCTGGAAAATTTTTGCCATCCCTACATATAATATATTATTATAAAGATAAGATTTTAGTAGTTGTCGTTAAATTTAACAAAAATACGAAATATGTTTAGTAAATATATAATATAATATGTTATGTAAAGTATATAATATGTTTAAAAGTAGAAAAAATGTATTCAATATACATTAATATATAGGTACCTAGTATTTAAACGTCTCAAATACTTATTGATAGATAGTATAGGTATTTAAGCCTGTAAATGGATTAATAAATATAGATATATGGTCAATGAAAAATAACAAATGATTTGTTTTTTGTTTGTTTAGAAACTATTCGCCAAATGAAACCATTTTCTTCACAAAATCTCACTAACACTGAAAAAGAAAAACCATTAAAAAATTGGTTGGCACAAGCTTCTAATAGAATCAAAAAATTATCAGCTAAAAATCCTCAACAAGATTCACAATAAAATTTATTCATGGTTTATTTAACTAAGTATTATTTTATGTTATTATTACTAAATGATTATTATTATCAATATATAATATGTCGTGTAAATTATGTTATTATTCTATTATATTCTTCAGTATTATATAATAAAATATTATACTATGTTTAAGAAAGAAACATCAGTATAATTTTATTTTACTTTATATAATTTATATTATTATATATTATTTATAATTATAATGTTATAATTATTTTAAAATATCAATGAAAAACAGTATTATAATTTTTTTTTTATTTTTGTACACAGCTACTTTTAATAGTTTTCTGTTTTATTATATTACTTTATGTATAATATTATGTTCTTTTGATAATATAACTTTTTATAATAAAACTTTTGTCTATCTGTGTTTATTTATTAATAAAAAGAAATGTTTTCAGTTACTGCATTACATATACATAATATAGGCATTATTAATCTATTATATGACCTATAATATAATTTAAATATGATTTATTTTGTTTCTGAATATATTTACTAGGAATATGTATTATGTAAAACATTTTTTTTCTAAGATTGATAGTAATTTTTGTCTTTTTGATTGACTCTCATTTTAACAATTGTGAATTAATGAATATTAACATATTGTTAAACATGTCACTGAATTAAATGGTTAAACAAGTATACCAAATATTCGGTTTATATATATATGTATATACAGGGTGTCCCGTGAGGATTTACTCATTAGCCGTAGAGGAGGACTCGCCGCCCGGACAAAAACCAGTTTATTGACGTTTTACTAATAAACTAAAAAAATTATTAAAAATCATGAGATTAATGAAAATAAAATGTTAAAAGCTCAAAATGTTCACAAAACAAGTGACAACAAGTTGACAACCTAAGAGTAAAATGTTGTGAACATGTGTTTTTCTCTGTCAAATCATGATTTGACAATATGTTTACAATATGTATACACTTTTTGAACATGTATCTGCATTTTGTAACAATGTTTTTGTGACTTATGAAATGTTTCCAAAATATTTTTAAAATGTACGATTGCTGTGTGGGAATGACTATCGAATAGTTTAATAATGATTTATCAATCGCATAACAAAATCATACTAAACTTAGTAGGAAAAAATCTTGTTGCCTCCTGCACAGTGCACAATCATCCATGGTATTAGAATATGAATTAGTAATGACTAAAAGTAATATTCAGGTATATGTCTATAGTAATAATTAGTAATTAATAGAATATGTAGGTACCTACCTATATAGTACATTTGTATATAGCACTATAACAGGTACTAATGGACAATGGTACTATATATTTGTATACCTAATTATATTATGGATGATATTTATAAATTATTCGTCCAAAGATCTTATATTATGTTATTTACTAAAGGACACCATTTCAATTTATTTTAAGTGTGCCAAATTTAAGGCGGGCCACTTCCGAAAATATTTAACACCATCAAGCAACAAGTCCTTACGTTGGTATGTAGTTACTATGTACTAGATAGGTAATAGTCAATAGGTCCGTACTAAATTATATAATATATTGATCTATTGAAATAATAATCATCTCGGACGTTTATAATCTAGGTATGTGAATATTATTGATGTACGCTTTGGTTAAACACTGAAAAATATGTGACCATAAGCATAAGGAAATTTGAACGATATAAAATAATAGGTAGGGAGGTACTTAACTATATTTTATACAAGATACCACCGTTTTTGATTTTTCAGTATAAAAAAAAATATTTTCAGCGTTTGACAAAGTTACGATGAATTTTCTAATAAACCGGGTCCCGAATGTTTTGGTGGTTAGGTATAATCTTCATGCACTGGTCGAATAAATATATAGGTACTCTATAGGTACCTAAACTATTAAATACTGATATTACATAAAAATATTGACTAAAAAAAAAAGAAAATTAAATTTTGTTCTATAATTACTTGTAGAATTTAAAATAAAATGTATTGAATATATATATGTTTTATCATTTATTAGGTATTTAAATGAGCACATACCTAGGTTTAGGTATTTTCGTTCCATAATAATTTGTTTGCAACTGATCCCCCCCCCATACAAAAGTTATGTATACGCCACTGTGCGGAGATGCGTTTCGCGTCGGAGGTGGAGCTCCCTCCCTTGGGTAGCTCCATGAGGAGGCTTCCGTCCCGTGTTTGCCGCATCGTGACGCTCGTGCCAAGATCTGTTATCGACAGGCCGCAGTTGCGCACGGCTTGGACTGTGTCGGCGTAAGACTTTCCGTACGCGTTCTTTACAAGAATGGCTGGTGGTTTCCTCGAGAAGGCTTGCGGCTGCGTGTGTTCTCCGGGTAGCTGCCGTGCTGCGGAAGGGGGTTTTTTCGAGGGACGTCTCCTGACGACCGCCGAATAGCCCTCTGCCTCGGTTTCGACCTCGACTTCCATGTCGGTTTCTCCTTGCTGGGGCTGCGTAGACCGGCGGCGGGTTTTCCTCCGCTTGGCGGCTGCCTTCGACTCTCTAACTTCTGTGCTGTCCCAATGGGCTGGGGTCAACTCCATGTCCGTGGACAAATCGGTGGTGCTGGACGAGGTGGCGGAGTCTGTTGTTTGGGTCGCGGCGTCCATTGGATCGAAGATCTTAACTAGAGTCAAATTCCTAAAAAACAAATTGAAGGGGAGTGTTGGCGCCCGCAGGCAATTGCATTTTATAAAACCAAAAAAAAATTTAGAAAAAAATTTACAGTAGGAAAACACATTAAAGAGTTCAAAATAAAATGTACAGAATCTTAAACAGAAAAAACAATATTGCCAATGATAAGCTAATTAAAGAATGATGATACAGACTGCACCTGCTTCTTAACAATATTCAAGTCTATACAAAAAATTCAACTAGAGTCAAATTCCAAGAAAAAAATTGAAGGGGAGTGTTGGCGCCCGCAGGCAAATCATTTTCAGGGGCAAGATATTCCATTTAAAACCCCTGTATAATATTATTGTTTCGTACTCTTTATTTTAATTATAATATCGATTACAATGTTGTAAAACAATTTATTACATCAATCCCAGCGCTCCTTGAATCAAACAATAAAAATATACAAATGAAAGAATTAATAATTATACTGTTTTACAATATTGATTTAGTTTGACCCGTGCTGCACTTCCAAATCTATTAAAAATTACAAAAATAAACCGTACTTTTCCGTTATGTTGACTACCACGACTATTAAATTCCGTTATCTCGACTACCACCCCGATACTATACCAGCTGGCCCTTTATAGTTGGCCGTAACGACAAGGCTAACTGCCGTTACCCAGTGACCAACTTGCGGTGGTGTTGTATAGCAAGTCGAGAGATGTTTTCGTTTCTTATTGTCCGTGCGCACCGCAGCGAGAGACTGGCCAAGTGGGCATCACTTTAAGAGGACATAGGATTTTAGACGAATTTTTTGCAAAAAATAGCAATTGATCTAATTAAGCGATGAGAATTCTAAAAACAGATTTGAATTTTTCATCAAGTCTTCTTGCAATCGACTTTCCCACAATTTTGATTTCTTTGATTTTAGCTTATCCAAAAATTTAAATACAAAAATGCTTAAATACTCTTTTTTAACGATATGACGTTTTCTGAAATTTTGGGGATGATATCAAAAATGTGGGAAAGCCGCTTTCGAGCAGACCGGACGACGAATTCAAATCTCTTTTCAGAATTTTTATCGCTTCATTAGATTGTAACCTGCTGGACAGCTTGGTGCCTACTATTGTAGTATAAAATATAAATAATAGACAAGTGGCTACAGGGGCGTACTCAAGGGGGGGGGGTCGTGGGGTTTGAACCCCTCCCATGACCTTACTAACCGATGCACTTTTGTGCGTTCTTGTTTATACATAATATAATTCACAGGAGCAATTTTCTAAAAAAAATTTTTAAGAAGGGAAAAAATAAACAAATATATTTATTTTCAATTTTATATCAACATGCATTATACAACGATTACAACCATTATCTGTTAAGAACTGTATTATGATAACCAGATAAAATTTAAATCAAACATACAAGGTGTATTGATAAGTTGTCGTCACTCTGGACCCCTATACGTATACACTCTTGATTGAAAATATTACCACAGTTCTATAGTCACCAGAGCGCGCTTCTTGTCCTACGAAG